GACCCAAATTGAGACCCTAGGAGGCCTCACGTGACTGTCCTCAGACACCTGCAGGCGGAAAGCATGCCCCGGCTAGCTGCTGTCCCAGCAGGATGCAAGAACCCACAGAGCAGGGCCCCTGGGCCACTCTGCATCCTTGTCCCTGGAAGTAAAGCAGCCTAGCCGAGGCCAGCCTAGAGCAGGCACCCCCTCTGCTGACTCACAAGACATGTGAAAAACAAATGCTCACTGTTGTATGCCATTGAGACTTGGGGGTGTTTGTTGCACAGCAGTGGCTGACTAATACACACTAATGTACTCACTTTCTCCACTCCCCAGACAGCTGGGGTATGGCTGGACCACTGGGATGTTTCCATGCAGGCACAAGCCTGCTACAGAGAAATAGCATCGGGGCAGGGCCATCTGTTTTCCAGGGGCAGCTGTGGCTGAGTGCCCAGGGCAGATGGCAGTGCCAACGAAGGCGTCTGGATTCTGCAGTGGTGGCAGCTTCGTCCTCTGGCATAATTTCAGCTGAAGGCCTAGCTGCCTCACCCCTTCGATTCCACTGTTTTCTTTTCTTTTTTTTTTTTATTCAGACACGGTCTCACTGTTACCCAGGCTGCAGTGCAGTGGCACAGTCATAGCTCACTGCAGCCTTGACCTACGGGGCTCAAGCCATCCTCACCTCACCCTCCCGTGCAGCTGGGACTACAGGTGCACACCACCATGCCAGGCTAATTTTTCAATTTTTTTGTAGAGACGGGGTTTTGGTGTGTTACTGGTCTCCAACTCATGGGCTCAAGAGATCCACCTGCCTCAGCCTCCCAGAGTGCTGGGAATAGTCTCTAAACAAAAAAAAGAGAGAGAGAGAGAAAGAGGCATAGTTGTGCTCCCCCACTCCAGAAATCACGGGCCACCAGTCATGACATCCCAGCACCTCTGACCTCCAGCCTTCTTGTTATGAGAAATAATGTCTGCACTGCCAAAGACACTAAAGGCCAGCTATGCTTGTCACCAAGCAGTTCTGAAGTTATAATGTCAATGTGGCAGTTGCTGGGGTTTTCCCATCTTATGTAAGTCAGGCTTTTTACTTGCAAGCAACAGAAACTGACTCTAGACTATCTATCTATTTATCTACCTATCTATCTATCTATCTATCTATCTATCTATCTATCTATCTATCTATTTATTTATTTATTTGAGATGGAGTTTCGCTCTTGTTACCCAGGCTGGAGTGCAATGGCGCGATCTCGGCTCACCGCAACCTCCGCCTCCTGGGTTCAGGCAATTCTCCTGCCTCAGCCTCCTGAGTAGCTGGGATTACAGGCACGTGCCACCATGCCCAGCTAATTTTTTGTATTTTTAGTAGAGACGGGGTTTCACCATGTTGACCAGGATGGTCTCGATCTCTCGACCTCGTGATCCACCCTCCTCGGCCTCCCAAAGTGCTGGGATTACAGGCTTGAGCCACCGCGCCCGGCTATCTATTTATTTTTGAGATGGAGTCTTGCTCTGTTGCCCAGGCTGGAGGGCAGTGGTGCAATCTCAGCTCACTGCAACCTCCACCTCCCAGGTTCAAGCGAGTCTCCTGCCTCAGCCTCCTGAGTAGCTGGGATTAAAGTCACCCACCACCACGCCCAGCTAATTTTTGTATTTTTAGTAAAGATGGGGTTTCACCCTGTTGGCCAGGCTGGTCTCGAACTCCTGACCTCAAGTGATTTGCCAGCCACAGCCTCCCAAAGTGCTGGGGTTACAGGCATGAGCTGCTGTGTATTTAAATACCGCACGTGTATACTGCAATTTAAATACCCCACGTGTATACTGCAAAACTGGTTGGTTGACCAGGCACGGTGGCTCACACCTATAATCCTAGCACTTTGGGAGGCCAAGGCAGGCCTTGTTTGAGCTCAGGAGTTCAAAACCAGCCTGGACAAAGTAGTGAGACTCTGTCTCTATTTTAAAAAATTAAAAAGGCTGGGCATGGTGGCTCATGCCTGTAATCCCAGCACTTTGGGAAGCCAAGACAGGCAGATGACTTGAAGTCAGGAGTTAGAGACCAGGCTGGCCGACATGGCAAAACCTCATCTGTACCAAAAACACAAAAATTAGTCAGGCATGGTGGCGTGTACCTGTAATCCCAGCTACTCGGGAGGCTGAGGCAGGAGAATCATTTGATCCTGGGAGGCGGAGGCTGTAGTGAACTGACATGGTGCCATGGCACTCCAGCCTGGGTGACAGAGTGAGACTCCATCTCAAAAAAAAAAAAAAAAAAAAAACAAACCCAAAAATTGTTTGGTAGCTCACAGAAGTGATGAGAAGGCTAGAGAACCAGGCTCAGAAAAACAGTGGTGCACTTAAAAAAAAAAAAAAAAAAAAAAAAAAAAAAAAAAGAGTGCAGTGGTGCAGTCACAGCTCCTTGCACCCCAGAACTCCTGGGCTCAGATGATCCTCCCACCTCAGCCTCCCCCCGTAGCTGGGACTACAGGCATGTGTGCTACCAGGGTCAACATTTTTTTTTTTTTTTAAAGAGATGGTCTCACTGTATCACTAGGGCTGGTCTTGAACTCCTGGACTCAAGTGATCATCCTGCCTTAGCCTCCCAAAGTTCTGGGATTACATGCATGAGCCACCGCACCCAGCCTGTGAGTGTGCTCGCTTAACTTGCTCCTCCTGGCCACAAGATGGCTGCAGAAGCCCCTGGGATTGTGTCCTCATAAGCAGTGAGGGAGGGAAGGGGGCAACAAAGCCTCTCCCTTGTCCAGAAACACCCGACCCCTTCAAGCTTGCTGGCCAGAGCTGGGAAACATGCCCAGATTGCAAACAACCCCGGCAAAAGGCATTGCCAAGAACGGCTCAGCTGAATCTTAACCCCGGAGGCTGGGCACGTTGCTCCTGGCACCAAATCAGGGCTCTGCTGGTGAGGAGGGAGGAATGGCTGCCAGGCTGGCCACCAGAATGAGAGCGACAGGAAGACGAGGACGAAGCAGGGGCCTTGTTGGGGGTGGAGCACGGCTCGGTGCCCTCCTTCCCCGAGGTTTGCACACAGAAGGTGCCCACGGGCACTAGTGTGAAGAAGGCTGCCCTCACATTCCCACCCCAGAACCTCTCTTTTGTGCAGCAAATGTTCGAGCTGTGCCCTGTCTGTGCCATGCTCTGTGTTAGGCGCCAGGCCGCTGGGATCCACGGCCAGACGCCCCGAGGAAGAGCAGAGCCCCGAGGCTGCACCGTGCACAGCGAATCTCCAGGGCCCGTGAGAACGGACGAGCTGGAGCTGCTTCCTCGGAGATGGAGCCAGGGGCGGGTTTCCAAGCTGGCCAGGTCCAGGGCGGATTCCCACCTCATACGGCTCCCCAGAGGCCCCCTTGGCCCTCGCTTGCAGAGAGGCCCCAGAAGTCACACTTGGCCTCCCTCTTGCGGGCCTGCATCCGACCGTCCCGAGAGACAGCGTTTTCCCACAGCCCGAGCCCAGGTGCGAGGGAGGCTCCCACGGCCGGCGTCCAGGCCTCAGCGAGGAGGCAGGGCGTCTGGATGCAGACAGGCTTCCCCCAGGCCCGGGGCGTTGCCGGGCTCCAGACCCCTCTGGGCCACCAGGCAGAGTTGGCTACGCGGGTCCAGGGGTGCGTGCACAGATGTGTGTGCGGGCATATGTGCGAGCTTGCATCTCACCATGTGCGGGCAAGCATGGGAACACGTTGCATGGGTGAGCGCGTGTGTGCAAGCGTGCAGGAGCACGGCCGTGTGAATGTGCGCGTTGCGGCATGAGTGTGCAGGTGTGTGCCTGAGCGTGTGCGAGTGTGCACAGGCGTGTTCTTTCTCTGAAGGACACAAACGTTCACAAAGTGAAGATTCAAGCCAGTTTCTGCTAAATTAAAAACAGCTTTTTCGTGTTTAAAGTTTACAATACGAAAAATAATTTTCCTTTCTTGGGGGGACGTGGTGGGGGAGGCTGAGGGAGGGGCAGGGGGCCCCAAGAACATTCCATGAACCGGCCCAGACAGTTATGCACAATCGATCCAGTTAGATACGGCAGCGCCCCCCCACCCCGGGCAGGCGCCCCTGCCAGCTCGTTGGGGACAAGATGTTCTGAGGTGTGAGCTGATCCGGGGGACTTGAAGCTGGCAAAGCTTCTCACTGCCCCCCTGAAGGGGCCGTGCCTCCAGTGGGGAAGAGTTCTCTGGGGGAGCTCAGGTCGGGGGCGGGGCTGGAATGTTCTGGTAAGTCCCCAAGGAGCACGGCTTTCCCTTGGATGTCCCTGACGGTGTGGGCTTCTTTTAGGTTCCCAACCACATTCCTAATTTAGCAGTGCCCATCCCCGCAGCCCCTGCTGTTACCCTAGCCCCGATGGCCGCCACACAGGAGCGCCAGGCATGCGGGCACAGCAACTTATGCAGATCCACGCATGTGTGAATCCCAGGGCCCCCCTCTGGGAAGGCCCTCTGGGAACATCAGGCTTTCTCGATAACCTTCAACTGGTAAGTGGCCCACTCTGGGCAGCCTGGTTCCCGGTTTCTCATCATCTCAGCCACGATGACAGTAGGGGGCTGAGGCCTCTTCCAAGGTGCCAAGGTGGGCCGGGCACAGTGGCTCATGCCTGTAACCCCACCACTTTGGGAAACCGAGGCAGGCAGATCACTTGAGGTCAGGAGTTCAAGGCCAGCCTGGCCAAGATGGTGAAACCCTGTCTCTACTAAAAATACAAAAATTCGCGGGGTGTGTTGGTGGGCATCTGTAATAATGGCTACTTGGGAGGCTGAGGCAAGTGAATCACTTGAAGCTGGGAGGTGGAGGTTGCAGTGAGCCAAGATCGAGCCACTGCCATTCCAGCCGGGGCAACAGAGCAAGACTCCATCTCAAAAAAAAAAAAAAAAAAAAAAAGTGCCAGGGTGAAAGTCCCGGCCACACTGCCTGCTGCTCCTGTGGCCCTGAGCCAAAGCCCAGCCCCCTGCCAGCTCCTCTGCAAGGCTGGAAAAGGCTGAGGCGGAGGAGAGGAGCCCCCAGACACGCGGAGGACACACGAGGAATCTGTGACCAATCAGCCCCAGCCGCACAAGCTCAGTGCTGGGCCTGCTCCATCTCTTCACCATAACATTTTTATTAAATAAAGGGAAATATTAGGAGACGACGTCTGCTAAGATAGGAGGTTAATTCTTTACATGGTGAGTGGGTCACAGCGACAAGACATCAATCGTCTGTGAGCAGCGAGAGAGACACTTTAAGTTGCCCCGAGAGTGCAAATCCCATCTATGAGACAGCGGGGCTGGCTTCTTAAAATAAAAAGTAAAACAAATTAAAAAGAAAAGCTTTAGAGGTTCAGACATTAAAACAAATGTGGCCAGAGATGCCGCAGAGCCCTTGAGAAGGGAAAGGCCTCACTGCCGGCTGGGTAGCAATGTCGACCTGGAAACAGGGCAGGCCGGGGAGTGGCAGGGTGCAGGCGGCGGGGGGGGAGAGGAGGAGGGAGGAGAATAAAGAGCACCCAGCTGACCTGCGGGAGGCGACACTGTGGAATTCCGAAGTCAGCGTCTCCCTCCAGCTGCAGGAAGGGGACTGCCCGGCCAACAGGGCAAATGTAGAGGGCCGGGATGTCTCGGCCAGCGAAGGCCCCGCAAGATGCTCTTGCCAAACGGAAGGCCCGAGGCCCGTAAGGACCGTTCCTAGGAGTTGATGTGGTTTTTCCTCCTGAAGGCAGACGATGACGGGAACGGAGGCATGACCAGAGCCTCCCCTCAGCAGCTCGGGATGGGGGAAGGAGGGCACCCCAGGAGAGACAGGCACGTACCCTGGTCCTCTGCCCACCCCAAACCAAGGGCCTCCAAGCCGCCTCTCACTGCTTCTGGAGGTCTGTGTGTTTTGGAGGTTTGGGGAGAGTTTATTTTAAAAACACGTGCGCAGGAGACTTGGAAGGAGGGCGAGTCGCATACCACCGACTTTAGGTTGGATGGAGATGAGCTCACATCTGAATGCCTGAAACCGTGGGGCTGGGCAGGGGTAGAGGAGTGCAGAGCGGCACAGGGACCCCCTGGAGACCTGGGATTCCATCCGCTTGCAGGAAATTGCCCGGGGACAAGTCTGCTGCCACAGCTGGCTCGTAGGCCGCTTCGTGGGCAGGCTCACTCAAGCGGACCTGGAGCCAGGATCTGCTTTGGGAAGGAGGGAGGGAGGGAGGTCACCCTGGGAGGGGCACTTATCCACACGCAGGCCTCTCGAGGGCAGCCTGGGCGAAGAGGGGCACTGGGGTTCAGGCAGACGTGCACTTGCCAAGCCCGGCTTGGAGACAGCATGCCGTCAGGCCAGAGTCCCGGGGGTCTGGGGGGCTACCTCCTGGTCCCGGCTCGGGGCAGCAGGACGGGGGCGCAGGCTATGCCCGCGAAGGACTCCGGGAAGTGCAGGTCCCGCTCCCACTCATCGGTGTCCGTGTTGTACACCTGCACGATGCCCGTGACGTTGTTGAGCCGCCAGTTGTAGCCCCCGACGATGTAGATCTTCCTCTCCAGCAGGCAGCAGCCCGCCTCTGACTGGCCGGCTCGCATGGGGCTCACGCTGGTCCACTGGTCCGTCTCGGGCACGTAGTACTCCACAGCCAGCACGTCGAAGCAGCGGTCCACGTGGTCCATGCGGCCCCCGAGGGCATAGATGCGGCCGCCCGCGCCCACCATGGCGTGCAGCACACGGGGCTCGCTCATGGGCGCCTTGAACTCCCACTGGTCGGCCACGGGGTCGTAGCAGTGCAGCGCCTTCTTGTCCTCCACTGAGATGCCATAGCCGCCCGAGATGTACAGGCGGCCCCCGGAGGCGGCCCCAGCGTGGCCCCAGATGCGGCGCTTGAGCGAGCAGGCGTAGCCCCACTCGTTGCGCCGGGGGCAGTAGCGCTCCACCGAGGCCAGGCTGCCGGCCCGGTTGCGGCCGCCCGTGGCGTACACCATGCCGCACAGCACGTTCAGCTGGAACTGGATGCGGCTCTCCTGCATGGCCTGCAGGCGCAGCCAGCGGTTCAGGTGCGGGTCGTAGCGGTAGCAGGCGTCCACCGCGCCCTCGCCGCTGCGGTACTGCAGGTGCTGGCCCCCGGCCATGTACACGAAGTTGTCCAGCACGGCCACGCACGTGTGGCTGCAGCCCACCTCCATCTCCGTGAGCTCGCGGAAGTGGCGGGCGCCTGGCTCGGGCAGCTGGTATACCTTGCTGCTTACCGAGCGGTCGCTGTCGGTGTAGGGCGTTCCGCCAAAGGCCACCAGCGAGGGCACGTCCGAGCGCACGGCGGTACGCGGCGACTGCATCTCGTGCTGCCGGAAGGGCAGCACCTGGTAGTTGAAGGCTTCCAGCAGGTACTGGCGGCACAGTACGTCCTCCACCATGATGTCCAGCGTCTGCACGCTGTCCACCAGCTCGGAGGACTGCATGAGCGGGAAGCGGATGTGGCAGAGCACGTGGCTGGCACGCGGCCGCCGGGCGGGGTCGTGCTGCAGCCAGCGGACCGCGGCTCGGAACAGGTCGATCTCAGCACAGCTCTGCAGTCGGTTGCTCTGCAGGAAGAAGACCAGGCGCTCCAGCGGCAGGCGCAGGAAGTCCTCCTCCTCCGCGATCTGCAGGAAGTGCTGGAAGGTGAAGGCGTCCACTGACTCCCGCAGCGAGGCCAGGCTGAAGGTGGTGGCCATCTGGCCGATGTTGAGGCAGGTCTCCACGCTCATGGCCGCCTTCAGGAACTCCTCGCACAGCTCCACCACGGGCAGCATCTGCAGGAACACAGCGGCACCCAGCACATCCTGCACGCAGTCCAGGTCCAGGGTCACCTCGGCGCTGTAGGCGAAGTCGATGATGTGCCGCAGGCCGCGGGCCGACACGCCCTTCAGCTCTATGACGTCCTGGCTCGCCTCCCGCATGCCACCGGTGAACATGGCCCTGAAGGGTGGAAACACAGCTTGTGGCTCGCAGTGGCTGAGGGGCGTTGTGACCAGCTGGGAATGATAACGGCCTCGGGAACAGTGGCCCCGGGACACAGAACGCAGGGCACAGCCAGCAGGAGGAAAGCGGGCCAGAGGCTCATTAAAAACATGCAAAGGTGGGGTGTCGTGTCTCACGCCTGTAATCCCAGCACTTTGGGAAGCCCAGGCGGGTGGATCACTTGAGGTCAGGAGTTTGAGACCAGCCTGGCCAACATGGTGAAACTCCATTTCTACTAAAAATACAAAATTAGCCAAGTGTGGTGGCGCATGCCTGTAATTGCAGCTACTCGGGAGGCTGAGGCAGGAGAATTGCTTGAACCGGGGAGGTGGAGGTTGCAGTGAGCCAAGATCATGCCACTGCACTCCAGCCTGGGCAACAAGAGCAAGACTCCATCTAAAAAAAAAAAAAAAAGATGCAAAAAAAGAGAGAGTTTGAGTCCACCCAAGCCATGCATCTTCCTATAAACAGCAGCTCCCTGCTTGGCCCCTTTGCAGGGGCCCTGCCTGAGCCCCTTCATGACTAGCTCATGTCAGAGCTGCAGGAGTGGAGGCTCGGTCAGCCTCACCCACCAAGTGCCTGGCGGTGGGCCGGTTAAAGGGGCCAGGTATGGCAATGCAGGATGAGAACACACCCTGTGGCTCTGGGGACAGATCTGCAGCCCCACCTGACACCTGCACTCAGGAGCTGCAAGACCCACGCTCTGGAGGTGCCACGCACTGCGGTTCCGCCCTCGCCTGCTCGCTGACCTGAGCAGGCAGCTCTGACGTACCCAGCCTGAGTCTCAACAACCACCTCGTGAAGAGGGCAGGGTAAGGAGGGTCCCAGGAGGCTGTGCTGGGGTGACTGCTGTCTCTAGAGACGAAGGTGGTCAGGGAAGTGCCTCCCACCAAACAGCTATGTTCCCACCCTCCAGTGAGATGCCAGCTCCACCCTTGTACTGCTCTGCTCTGGGAAGCAGAGCTAAGATGAGTGGGGAGGGGACACAGGCCCTTGTGAGGGAGGGTAGTGAGGAGGTACAGGCCTGTAGGTTGCAGTTCCCCTACAGCTTTTAGGGTGCTCCTCAGCAGAAGAGGGGAGCGCTCCCCAGCAGAAGAGGGGAGCGCTCCCCAGCTCTAGGGGCACGGGCGGTTCCTCCTAGGAGGTGTGCTGGCATGGCACAATAACCCTTATTCCTGCCTGTGTACCTTCCCTGATGGCCACCCGAGGAGGAGGGAACATCCCTTGGGCATTCGCCCCACAGAGGTCCATCCCCTGGTCTTGCGCCTCACATGGGGCAGGCTCTGGGCTACAGGGGCAAGGACAGTGGCCAGGGCACTGCCTCGGAGCCGCCCACTGACATCTGCCCAGCGAGCCTCTCCTCAGCGTCTCCGCGTGGTCCAGGAGCAGCACCCTGCCAGCTCCCCAGACCCTGCCCCGGTTGTCCCGATGGGTCCCCGCTGGCCCTCGGGCATGATGCGATGAAGGCAGAGGCGGTCTTGGGCGACAGGAGGGAGCTTTGCCTTTTAAGGCCTTGCCAGCTGCTGTGCCAGCGCAGGGGAGCCTTTAAAGGGCATTGCTGGCTGGGCTGGCCCACCCGTCCCCAAATCCAGAATAAAAATAGAAGCAGTGCCCCAGTTGGCTCTCCTGCTGCGGCCCCCACAACAGCCTCGTTGAGCCCACAGGGCAGGCGGCCCAGGCCTTGGGGAACACGCGGGTGAGGTGCACACCTGGGCTGGGGCCTGGGAACTGCCCCAGGGTGGCCCAGCTCTCTCTGGCAGGGTCACTGCCTGGCAGGAAGGAGGCTCGCCTGCTGGTCACCCAGGGAGGAAGACCACCCAGCCCTGCAACAGCCCCCAGGTGACAAGGAGAACGCACTCCCTACCCCACAGCCCTGTTCTGTGGTGTTCTCACTTCTGGCCTCGCCATGGCACAGGGATAGACAGACAGACCCATGTGCCCGCCATGGCCTTCTCGGTCACATGGTGGAAGTGCCCACAGCTCAGGGCGACAGCGAGGAGAACTCATGTGGGCCTCAGACAGAGCCCGGGACACAGTGTTGGCAGACACAGGGTCCCTGTGGCCTTCAATGCCCCTCCAGTCCCCCAGCTGTCCCGCTCCAGGTGTCCTGAGGGGTGCCCTAATGGCAGAGGCTTATGCCGATTTCACTCGTTCATCCCTGCTGGATCCCAAGGCCTAGAATACTGCCTGGCATACAGCAGGTGTCAAGTAAAGACAGATCAAAAGCCTGGCCAAACCCTGCCAGGCCACAGGGCAGAAGTGAGGGTGCTCATGGGTCATCTCTATCCCCCCAGGCGTGTCTGCCCAAAGAGAGTAAGATGCAAACTGGGGGATATCTGCAGGTTTACGGGACATTAACCTCTCTCTAAAATCAGAAGAGGTCAAGCGCGGTGGCTCACACCTGTAATTCCAACACTTTGGGAGGCCGAGGTGGGTGGATCACGAGGTCAGGAGTTCGAGACCAGCCTGGCCAACATGGTGAATCCCATCTCTACCAATAATACAAAATATTAGCCGGGTGTGGTGGCGGGTGCCTGGGTTCCCAGCTACTCGGTAGGCTGTGGCAGAGAATCACTTGAACCTGGGAGGTGGAGGTTGCAGTGAGCCGAGATCGCGCCACTGCACTCCATCCTGAGCAACAGAGTGAGACTCCATCTCAAAAAAAAAATAAAGATTCCAGAGCCGGCACCAGCCCTTCTCCCTCGAAGCTGCCCCTGGATGGTGCTGAGATCGGCCCCCTTTAGAAGGTTCCGTCTCCCCTCCCAGCTCCCCATGCCCAGCGCTTACCTGAAGTAGTCGCTGCAGGCGGCCAGGACGACCTTGTGCGCAGGAAAGGCCTCTCTGTTGATGGTCAGCACGACATCGAGGAGCTGGCCCTGGGCGCGGAGGGTGGCCAGGCCCTGCAAGAGGCTGGTGCTGTGGCCGGCCGCCGAGAAGGTGCACTTGAGGGCCCCGTTCTTGTCGGCCGTGCTGCGGGGAGAGCAGAGGTGGGGACACGGCCCATTGGCCTTGAGGTTCACACACACACTACAACCTCGAACGCAACACTCGGTGCAAGAACCAGACACAAAAGGCCGTGTGGTGTACGGCTGCTGACGTGAAACGCCCGGAACAGGCGAATCCACAGAGACAGGAAGCAGATGGGTGCCACCAAGAGCTGGGGGAGGGGAGGGGAGTGACTGCTGGTGGGGTGGGGTCTCCTTTCGGAGGAGTAAGAATGTTCTGGAACTAGATAGAGGTGGCATTTGCACACCACTGTGAATCTACTAAATGCCACTCAATTGTCCTCTTAAGACAGTTTGATGTCACGTGAATTTTACTCAAATAAAAAAACCAAAGGACACGCGGGAGCCTTCTCGAGTCCCACGAGAGCCCTGCCATGGCCCCTGCACCGCAGCGTATACGAGCCCTCTGTGCTTCAGCCCCCACCGCCCCTGCAACCCGCTCATCCCCTCTTCTCCAGCCCCACCACCCTGTGCTGTTTCATTTGGGGAAACTGATGAACGGGTAGCTTAGGAGCCAGTGATGCACCACTTCTTCCTCAGAACACAAACAGGGCGGACCTTGTTGCCACCTCCAGGGTCAGTCCCCTCTAGGACCTCTACCCCCACCCCCACCGGGCTGAGGCCACCCTCCCCGGCACCCTGCTCTGTCCTCGTGGCCTCTGCCCTCTGGAATTTGCTCTCCCATTCTGGGACCCACGCCTGCCCGTAAGTGAGAGACAGGAATGCAGGCACTGATCCTTCCAAGAAAGCAGAAGGAGATGGAAGGCTCCTCGGCCCCACTGCTGCCGGCCCCAGAACCACTGTGGACATTAAAGAGCCGACGTCAAACCCAGGGCGCACAGTGGGCACTCATCAGCACTGCAGCTGCACCGGAGGCCTTGACCTCCCGCAGGCCGCCCTTCCAGAGACCCTTGGGAAAGGGTGGGTGACCAACACAAACTGCTGGGCAGAGGGGCTGCAGGACCAGGCACTGACCACAGCCCTGCAAGGCACCACAGGCAGAGCAAGTTGCCCAAGCCCCAGCCCTGCCTTGAAGGTGCTCCGCGTCCTGGAGGATGAGGACACAGCGTGGAGGAGCCGGTGAGGGGCCTGCGCTCAGTGGAAAGCCTTTGAGACCCTGGAGAGGGAGGACACAGGCTACTCGGAGCCTAATACCACAGGTCATCTGGGCTGGCCAGCCATGCTGCCGGGGGTGCCGAAGGCCAGACCTGGGGTTTGCCTGGGAGGGTGGGGATGCAGCCTTCTGAAAGCTCAGGAGGGGAAGGAAGGAAAGGGGTCCAGGTGCACCCTGAGACTCTGGCTTATCCCGATGGCCTTTCCCCTGCCAGGTGGAGGGGATGCCCACCTCCACTCCTCCCTTCTTCCCTTCCCCACACATCCGCCCCAATTGCACTTGCCCAGGCCGCTGCTGTGAGCCAAGCCTCGGCTCTTTCTTCCCCAAGACCCGTGACAGATCCACAGTTCCGAGGCTCGTGAGGAGCATGTCACAGGCACACGGGCTGCTCCCCTGTCCAGCTCCCCTCTCCAGCTCCCCACAGGGTCTAGCACCTGCCCAGACATCTCCAGAGGTGGTGCCTCGTTGCTTCCAATGATGCCACGCCCTCTCACCGACACCCAGGCTGCCTGGGGCCAAAGCCGCATCCGACATGTGTCTCCGAGAGCCCTCAAGGGGTCCACATCTCTCCTTGTCCCCAGCTTGCCTCCCTGCCTTTGCCAAGTCCTCCTCCCTCCCGTGCAGGGACGCAGTGTGAACTTAAAGTAGGCCCTGTCCTCATGAGCACTCAGTCCAGGTAACAGGGACCAAAAGGGGTCAGATCACCTAGAACCAGCTTTGTGTTGCAGCTGTAAAAGGGTCGGGTGCCATTGGGCTCCAGGTGACCCCTGCCAGCCTTTCTGTAGACACTTTGTGTCCCAGAAGTATGCATGGCCCTTGCCAGCCCCTGCCATTTTTTTGGTCTGGTTTTTCCTTTGATGTTCAAGGAGATTTGTGGGGAGGAATGGGAGGACTTCTTTGCCTCCTCTAAAGCCCTTGGGGGCAGGTGTGCATGTGTACATTTTCACCAGAAGAAACACATTGAACTGGGGTAATTTCATCACGGGGCCACTCCATCCTGAGAAGTGGATTTATCGTGCACCTCCATATATAAAGAGCATCAATAAATCAATACAAATTAGCCAGGCATGCTGCCGTGCACCTATGGTCCCAGCTACTTGGGAGGCTGAGGTGGGAGGATCACTTGAACTCAGGAGGTGGAGGCTGCAGTGAGCTGTGTTAATGCCACTGCACTCCAGCCTGGGCGACAGAGTGAGATCGAAAGATGCACAAATAATGTGAGCTGATGGTTCCCAGGAAAGCAAGCAGACCTGGCTGGAAGGACCTAAGAGTTGGCCTTGCTCACGGTCAGGGAAGCACACTCTCGGGGGCCCTATGAAGCAAGGTGACCCACAGGAAGGCAGCTGGGTAGACCCAGCAATACTCTAAAGGCTCATGTCCTTTACCCAACAACTCTATTTCTGAAACGTACCCAAATACTGTTTCTAGGGGCCATGGACAAGAAATAAGCTAACCATCCTCAGGGGAGGTATGCAGAATCACAGCACCTTCCGAGAGAGGGCTCCCCACAGCTGGGTGAGAGGGCTGATCCTGAGGCATCCCGGGGAAGACGCTGCATCTAGGGGATGGCATTATGGCTGCAGGAGGAAGAGCAGAACGCGTGCACAGGGGGATGCGCTTTGCACTCAACGTGTTATCTGCCCATGAGTGCACAGGACGTGTCTACAGAACTGAGAAGCTGGAGAGAGAGGACCTCCCTCTGGGGAGGAGAGGGGCCCCTGCCCCACCCCCTGCTGTTCTGATGACTGAGGAACAGGAAACCAGGGAGGTGACCAGGGTTTCAGGCATGGGATCTCTGGGTTCCCCAGCAAGTGGAGGGTGCCCGGAACCCAGAAGGCAGGATCAGTTCAGCTGGCCGGCAGGGCATCCCAGAGCAGGCATCAGGGGCCAGCAGCCTGGGCCAGGCCAGCTCTGCTCAGCTGGGAACTCAGCAGTCACTCAACCACCAGGCGTCAGCTACAAAGCAGGGGCACATGACTGCCCAGCTCCCCCAGCCCCAGGGCCACCGGAGGATGAGATGAGCAAATGGGCAAATGCAGAGCCCTGGAACCCAGGCTGCCACTAGCATGTGACGACCTACACACTCGGAGAATTCCGATGCTCCCATCTGGAAGTTTGGACACCCCTGGCCCAGAACGCTGGGTGAGGCTCAGCCACTGCTGGTCACAGGGTACAGGGCCCATGTTAGACCCACGAGCGGGGAAGCAGCTTGTCCTGCCCGGGCCTCCTCCTGGTGTCCCAGTGATGTCTGATGCGCTCCACACAGCTGTTTCCTTCCTCTCGTCTTAGGGATGGGACAACTGTCCCTGAAGCCCCTGCTGTCACCCGCTGTACTGCCGATCCTGAGAAGTCAAACCCATCCTGCTGCAGCCCCTCCCGGGGAACTCAGGGAGAGAGGAGGCCAGCAGGGGCTGAAGTCCCCCAGCCTGGATGGAGAAGTGAGATGCAGCCTGGGCGGAGGTGGGCAGGCAGAGGAGGAGGGAGGGCCGGGGCCAGGGCCGATGACTAAGGTCCTCTCCAGCCGGCCACGGGGAGGAGGGGAAGGACCCATTACTCAGGCCGGCCCAGACAGGGGGCGGCCGGCGCGGCGGGGCCACAGGCCCCAGGAAGGCGGTGGCCCTGAGCCTGTCCGAGTCTACAGACGGCCACTCGAGTCACGGTCACCCGCACGTGAGTCATCGGAGCCAGTGCGTCAGCAGCCCGGGCCAGGGCCGTCTCGAGAGGCCATCGCCGCCTGCCCTGGCTGCACCCTCTGCCGGAATCTGGCCTCTGAGTGGCCACACGCCCCCGCTGCGGGCCTGGCCCGGTCTGGGGGCCATTCTGACACCTCCTTGCCGCTGTATCCCCCCAGCAATGACATCAGGCATCCCAACCAGGCCCAGGCTGTGCTGGACCCGAGGACCCGCCCAGGTCTGCCCTGGCGACACGGCCCCAGCGTCTCTCAGATGTCCTTGTGCGGGGACACGCTGGGCTGGTGTCCGGGGAGCCGGGGTGGGGGGACTCTCCCAGGTGGACTGCCTGCTATGAGATTCCCCACATCTCTAAGGGTTGCCCCCGTGACCACCTGCTTGCTGCTGACACCCCCGTGTAGGCCCCGTCCCTCCCCACATTGTCCTTCATGGGGCCCTCGAACCCTCGCCTGAGAGTCTACTCTGGGGGAACCCATGAGGCAGGACAGCCTCATGGGGGAGGTCACAGGAAGCTCAGAGTCATGGGGGCTGCGGCCAGGCACCCGAATGATGGAGCCTCGTGGGGGGATCAGGAGCAGGGGAGGTGGGGGCTGCCTGGGGAGCCAACAGTGAGGGGCACACACCTGTCAGGGCGGGTGCTCTCCTCCGGCCCCGGGCTGGCCGCATCCCACGGTGGGCTTGCCAACCCACGAGGAGCGATCCAAAGGCCCAGAATGGCTCTTTTCATTGGAATGTCCAAAAAAGAAAAAAAAAAAAAAAAAAAGGCAAGAACAAGAAAGAATTTCATGGAAACATTTCTTTGGGGTTTTGTAAAACCCTTTCCCACCCCCGCACGGAGCCCTGCGCGGGCCAGAACGGAGCCTGCCGGCATTGCCCTCACAGGCGGCTCTGACGCAGGCCCTCACTTCCCCTCAAAGTGGAGAGCACTTCCACTTTCAAAGCCAATTTTGGTTTTATTGTCCATGTGGCTCGATGGAGCACGGCAGCGCAGCACAGCTGGTTGGCTCGCGCCCCGGCCGAAGCGATGCCGCCCCAGGGTCCCGGTGCATGGGTGGGGAAGAGGCTGTGCGGCAGGGGCCCGGCGGGGCCGGCGGGGAAGCCACTGCCCACCCTCCAGCCTCTGTCCCAGCCAGTCCCAGGCCGGCAACTGGACCACCAGCA